ACAACACAAAAGAAGATCAAAAAGCAGATGACAAGTGAAAGATCAAGAGACAGATAAACAAGAAAGAGAAGATCAAGAGCAGCAGCAGATGACAGATGAAACTTCAAAGAGAAGATCAAGCTGCAGATGACAACAAACTCAAAAGAGATACAACAAAAGAGAGAAGATCAGATGACAGTGAAACTTCATTAAAGCAGATACAACAAGAAAGAGAAGATCAAGAGCTGCAGATGACAGTGAAACTTCATTAAAAGCAGATACAACAAGAAAGAGAAGATCAAGAGCTGCAGATGACAGTGAAACTTCATTAAAGCAGATACAACAAGAAAGAGAAGATCAAGAGCTGCAGATGACAGTGAAACTTCATTAAAGCAGATACAACAAGAAAGAGAAGATCAAGAGCTGCAGATGACAGTGAAACTTCATTAAAGCAGATACAACAAGAAAGAGAAGATCAAGAGCTGCAGATGACAGTGAAACTTCATTAAAAGCAGATACAACACAAAAGAGAAGATCAAGAGATGCAGATGACAGTGAAACTTCATTAAAAGCAGATACAAGAGAAGATCAAGAGCTGCAGATGAAAACTTCAGAAGATCAAGAGAAGATCAAGAGCTGCAGATGACAGTGAAACTTCATTAAAGCAGATACAACAAGAAAGAGAAGATCAAGAGCTGCAGATGACAGTGAAACTTCATTAAAGCAGATACAACAAGAAAGAGAAGATCAAGAGCTGCAGATGACAGTGAAACTTCATTAAAGCAGATACAACAAGAAAGAGAAGATCAAGAGCTGCAGATGACAGTGAAAAAAATGCATTAAAGCAGATACAACAAGAAAGAGAAGATCAAGAGCTGCAGATGACAGTGAAACTTCATTAAAGCAGATACAACAAAGAAAGAGAAGATCAAGAGCTGCAGATGACAGTGAAACTTCATTAAAGCAGATACAACAAGAAAGAGAAGATCAAGAGCTGCAGATGACAGTGAAACTTCATTAAAGCAGATACAACAAGAAAAGAGAAGATCAAGAGCTGCAGATGACAGAAACTTCATTAAAGCAGATACAACAAGAAAGAGAAGATCAAGAGCTGCAGATGACAGTGAAACTTCATTAAAGCAGATACAACAAGAAAGAGAATATCAAGAGCTGCAGATGACAGTGAAACATCATTAAAGCAGATACAACACAAAGAGAAGATCAAGAGCTGCAGATGACAGTGAAACTTCATTAAAGCAGATACAACAAGAAAGAGAAGATCAAGAGCTGCAGATGACAGTGAAACTTCATTAAAGCAGATACAACAAGAAAGAGAATATCAAGAGCTGCAGATGACAGTGAAACATCATTAAAGCAGATACAACAAAAAGAGAAGATCAAGAGATGCAGATGACAGTGAAACTTCATTAAAGCAGATACAACAAGAAAGAAGAAAGATCAAGACAGTGAAACTGCAGATGACAACAAGAAACAAGAGCTGCAGATGAAAGCAGATACAACAAGAAAGAGAAGATCAAGAGCTGCAGATGACAGTGAAACTTCATTAAAGCAGATACAACAAGAAAGAGAAGATCAAGAGCTGCAGATGACAGTGAAACTTCATTAAAGCAGATACAACAAGAAAGAGAAGATCAAGAGCTGCAGATGACAGTGAAACTTCATTAAAGCAGATACAACAAGAAAGAGAAGATCAAGAGCTGCAGATGACAGTGAAACTTCATTAAAGCAGATACAACAAGAAAGAGAAGATCAAGAGCTGCAGATGACAGTGAAACTTCATTAAAGCAGATACAACACAAAGAGAAGATCAAGAGCTGCAGATGACAGTGAAACTTCAGATACAACAAGAAAAAGATAGATCAAGAGAAATGACAGTGAAACTTCATTAAAGCAGATACAACAAGAAAGAGAAGATCTGCAGATGACAGTGAAACTTCATTAAAGCAGATACAACAAGAAAGAGAAGATCAAGAGATGCAGATGACAGTGAAAAACTTCATTAAAGCAGATACAACAAGAAAGAGAAGATCAAGAGCTGCAGATGACAGTGAAACTTCATTAAAGCAGATACAACAAGAAAGAGAAGATCAAGAGCTGCAGATGACAGTGAAAAAGTCATTAAAGCAGATACAACAAGAAAGAGAAGATCAAGAGCTGCAGATGACAGTGAAACTTCATTAAAGCAGATACAACAAGAAAGAGAAGATCAAGAGAACAGCAGATGACAGTGAAAACAAAAAGCAGATACAACAAGAAAGAGAAGATCAAGAGCTGACAGATGACAAAAAACTTCATTAAAGCAGATAATTCAACAAGAAAGAGAAGATCAAGAGATGCAGATGACAGACTGAAACTTCATTAAAGCAGATACAACAAGAAAGAGAAGATCAAGAGCTGCAGATGACAGTGAAACTTCATTAAAGCAGATACAACAAGAAAGAGAAGATCAAGAGCTGCAGATGACAGTGAAACTTCATTAAAGCAGAACACAAAGAGAAAGATCAAGAGAGATGACAGAAACTTCAAAAGCAGATACAACAAGAAAGAAAGATCAAGAGCTGCAGATGACAGTGAAACTTCATTAAAGCAGATACAACAAAAGAGAAGATCAAGAATGCAGATGACAAGTGAAACTTCATTAAAGAGATACAAAGAAGATCAAGAGCTGCAGATGACAGATACAAGAAAGAGATAAACATCAAAGAGAAGATCAAGAGAGATGACAGTGAAACTTCATTAAAGCAGATACAACAAGAAAGAGAAGATCAAGAGAGAAGAAAGATGACAGTGAAACTTCATTAAAGCAGATACAACAAGAAAGAGAAGATCAAAAGCTGAGCTGCAAAGATGACAGATAGCAACACAAAAGAAACTTCAAGAAAGCAGATGACAAACAAAAGAAAGAGAAAGAGAAGATCAAGAGCTGCAGATGACAGACTGAAACTTCATTAAAGCAGATACAACAAGAAAGAGAAGATCAAGAGCTGAAGATGACAGTGAAACTTCATTAAAGCAGATACAACAAGAAAGAGAAGATCAAGAGCTGCAGATGACAGTGAAACTTCATTAAAGCAGATACAACAAGAAAGAGAAGATCAAGAGCTGCAGATGACAGTGAAACTTCATTAAAGCAGATACAACAAGAAAGAGAAGATCAAGAGCTGCAGATGACAGTGAAACTTCATTAAAAGCAGATACAACAAGAAAGAGAAGATCAAGAGCTGCAGATGACAGTGAAACTTCATTAAAGCAGATACAACAAGAAAGAGAAGATCAAGAGCTGCAGATGACAGTGAAACTTCATTAAAGCAGATACAACAAGAAAGAGAAGATCAAGAGCTGCAGATGACAGTGAAAAAGCTTCATTAAAGAAGATCAGATGCAACAAGAAAGAGAAGATCAAAAGAGAAGATCAAGAGATGACAGTGAAACTTCATTAAAGCAGATACAACAAGAAAGAGAAGATTAAGAGCTGCAGATGACAGTGAAAATTCATTAAAGCAGATACAACAAGAAAGAGAAGATCAAGAGCTGCAGATGACAGTGAAACTTCATTAAAGCAGATACAACAAGAAAGAGAAGATCAAGAGATGCAGATGACAGTGAAACTTCATTAAAGCAGATACAACACAAAGAGAAGATCAAGAGCTGCAGATGACAGTGAAACTTCAAAAGCAGATACAACAAAAAGAGAAGATCAAGACAGATGACAGTGAAACTTCATTAAAGCAGATACAACAAGAAAGAGAAGATCAAGAGCTGCAGATGACAGTGAAACTTCATTAAAGCAGATACAACAAGAAAGAGAAGATCAAGAGCTGCAGATGACAGTGAAACTTCATTAAAAACAGATACAACAATGAAAAGAAGAGATCAAGAGATGCAGATGACAGACTGAAACTTCAAAAGCAGATACAACAAGAAAGAGAAGATCAAGAGCAGATACAAAACTTCATTAAAGCAGATACAACAAGAAAGAGAAGATCAAGAGATGCAGATGACAGTGAAACTTCATTAAAGCAGATACAACAAGAAAGAGAAGAAAAGATCTGAAGAGGAAAGATCTTAAAGACAGATACAACAGAAAGAGAAGATCAAGAGCTGCAGATGACAACAAAAAGATTAAAGCAGATACAACAAGAAAGAGAGAAGATCAAGAGCTGCAGATGACAGTGAAACTTCATTAAAGCAGATACAACAAGAAAGAGAAGATCAAGAGCTGAGATGACAGTGAAACTTCATTAAAGCAGATACAACAAGAAAGAGAAGATCAAGAGCTGCAGATGACAGTGAAACTTCAAGAAAGAGATACAACAAGAAAGAGAAGATCAAGAGACTGCAGATGACAGTGAAAATTCAACAAGAAAGACAAGATCAAGCATCTGAAGAGGAAAGATCTTAACAGACTGAGAACAGTCAGATGACAATGAAACTTCAACAAAAGCAAAGATAAAAAGATCATCTGAAGAGACAGAAAATTAAAGCAGATACAACAGACTGCAACAGACAGTGAAACTTCATTAAAGCAGATAAACAAGAAAAGAATCTCAAGAGGAAAGATGAGAAACTTGACAAAAAAGAGAAGATCAAGAAGCAGATAATTCAACAAGAAAGAGAAGCATCTGAAGAGGAAAGATGACAGACTGAAACTTCATTAAAGCAGATACAACAAGAAAGAGAAGATCAATCTGAAGATGAAAGATCTCAAACTGGAACAGTCAAAGAGGATAAGATACAACAAGAAAGAGAAGAAAAGAGCATCTGAAGAGATGACAGATGAAGACTGGAACTGTCATTAAAAGCAGATACAACAAGAAAGAGAAGATCAAGAAGCTGCAGATGACAGTGAAACTTCATTAAAGCAGATTCAACAAGAAAGAGAAGATGCATCTGAAGAGCTGCAGATGACAGACTGAAACTTCATTAAAGCAGATACAACAAGAAAGAAGATCAAGATCTGAAGAGGAAAAGATCTTAAAGCAGACAACAACAAGAGAAGATCAAGAATTCAACAAGAAAGACAAAATGCATCTGAAGAGGAAAGATACAACAGACTGGAACAGATCAAGAGGTGCAGATGACAAGAAAGAAAAATGCATCTGAAGAGATAAACAAGAAAGAGAAGACTGGAACTGCAGATGACAGTGAAAATTCAACAAGAAAAAGAGAAGATCAGAATGCATCTGAAGAGAAAGATCAAAGAGAGACTGAGACAGATGACAGTGAAACTTCAACAAAGCAGAAATACAACTGAAGAAAAAGAAGATCAAGAGCTGCAACAGACAGTGAAACTTCATTAAACAAGAAAGACAACAAAAGATCTGAAGAAGAGAAAGATGACAGACTGAACTTCATTAAAGCAGATTCAACAAGAAAGAGAAGATCAAGAGCTGCAGATGACAGTGAAACTTCATTAGAGAAATACAACAAGAAAAGAGAAGATCAAGAGACTGCAGAACAGTGAAACAGTAAACTTCATTCAACAAGAAAGATAAATGCATCTGAAAGAGATAAACACAAAGAGAAGATCAAGAGCTGCAGAACAGTGAAACTTCATTAAAGCAGATACAACAAGAAAGACAGAATGCATCTGAAGAGGAAGATGACAGACTGAAACTTCATTAAAGCAGATACAATTCAAGAAAGAAAGAATGAAAGAAGAGGAAAAGAGATGAAGACAGGAAACAGTCATTAAAGAGATACAACAAGAAAGAGAAGATCAAGAGCTGCAGATGACAGTGAAAACTTCAAAAAGCAGATACAACAAAGAAAGAAGAGAAAGATCAAGACAGACTGCAGATGAAACAGTGAAACTTCAACAAGAAAGAGAAAATGCAACAAGAAAGAGAAAGATCAAGAGCTGCAGATGACAGGAAACAGTCATTAAAGCAGATACAACAAGAAAGAGAAGATCAAGAGGAAAGCAGATGACAGTGAAACTTCATTAAAGCAGATAAATAATTCAACAAAAAGAAAGATCAAGATGCTGAAGAAGAGAAAGATCTCACAGACTGATACAACAAGAAAGAGAAGATCAAGAAAGAGCAGATGACAGAAGAGGAAAGATTAAAGCAGACTGGAACAGTCAAGAGAAGATTCAACAAGAAAGACAGAAACTGCATCTGAAGAGGAAAGATCTCAACAAAAAGAGAACAAGTCAGATGACAGTGAAACTTCATTAAAGCAGATACAACAAGAAAGAGAAGATCAAGAGCTGCAGATGACATCAAAAGAAAGAAAGAAGAAAGAGAAGATCAAGACTGGAACAGACAGGGTAAAAATTCAACAAAGAAAGACAAAAAAGCATCTGAAGAGGAAAGATGACAGACTGAAACTGTCATAGGTAATAATTCAACAAGAAAGAGAGAATGCATCTGAAGAGGAAATGATCTCAAACAGACTGGAACAGTCAGATACAACAACAAGAAAGAGAAGATGCATCTGAAGAGGAAACAACACAAAACAGATAATAACAACAAGAAAGAGAAGATGCATCTGAAGAGGAAAGAAAGACTGGAACAGTCATTAAAATAATACAACAAGAAAGAGAATGCATCAAGAGCTGCAGATGACAGACAGAAACTTCATTAAAAGAAAGATACAATTCAAGAAGAAAGATCAAGAATGCAGATGACAGATTAAAGCAGATGCATCTGAACAAGAAAGAGAAGATCAAGAGCTGCAGATGACAGTTCAACAAGAAAGAGATACAACTGAAGAGAAGATCAAGAGACTGGAACAGTCAGTGAAATTCATTAAACAAGATACAACAAGAAAGATCTGAAGAGAAAGATGCAGAGACTGGAAACTTCATTAAAATAGATTCAACAAAAGAAAGACAAGAATGCATCTGAAGAGGAAAGATCTCACAGACTGAAACAGTCATTAAAGCAATTCAACAAGAAAGAGAAGAATGCATCTGAAGAGGAAGATTTCACAGACTGGAACTGTCATTAAAGCAGATACAACAACAAAGAAAGACAAAATGCATCTGAAGAGGAAAGATTAAAGCAGATAAACAGACTGAGAACAAGAGCTGCAGATGACAGTGAAAATTAAAAGAAAGAAGAGAAGATCTGAAGAGGAAAGATGACAGACTGAAACAGTTAAAGCAGATACAACAAGAAAGAGAAAATGCATCTGAAGAGGAAAGATCTGACAGACTGGAACTTCATTAAAGTAATAGATTCAACAAAAAGAGAAGATCAAGATGCATGACAGTGAAACTTCAAAAGATTTCAAGAGAAGATCTGAGAGGAAAGACAGTGAAAAAGGGTAAAGCAGATTCAACAAGAAAGAGAAGAAAGAGCTGCATCTGAAGAGGAAAGATCTTCATTAGACTGAGAACAACAAGGTAAGAAGAGAAGAAAGACAGAATGCATCTGAAGAGAAAGATCTGAAAAAGAGATGACAGTCAAAACTTCATTAAAAGAGATACAACAAGAAAGAGAAGATCAAGAGACTGCAGATGACAGTGAAACTTCATTAAAGAGATACAACAAGAAGAGAAAGATCAAGAGCAGATGACATAGGTGAAAATTCAACAAAAAGACAGATAAAACATCTGAAGAGGAAAGATCAAGAGCTGCAGATGAACAGTGAAACTGAAAAGCAGAGAGAAAAGAACAAGAAAGAGAAAATGCATCTGAAGAGGAAAGATCTCACAGACTGGAACAGTCAGAGAAGATCAAGAGCTCAACAAGAAAGACAAAATGCATCTGAAGAGAAAGATCAAGAGCAGACTGGAAACAGTCAAATAATTCAACAAGAAAGAGAGAATGCATCTGAAGAGAAAGATCTCAAGACTGGAACAGTCAAGTGTAATAATTCAACAAGAAAGACAGAATGCATCTGAAGAGGAAAGATCTCAGAGACTGGAACATGACAGGAAACTTCAACAAAGAAGAGAGAAAATGCATCTGAAGAGGAAAGATCTCAAGAGACTGATGACAGTCATGGTAAAATTCAACAAGAAAGACACAAAATGCAAGAAAGAGAAGATCAAGACTGGAACAGACATAGTAAGAATTCAACAAGAAAGACAGAATGCATCTGAAGAGGAAAGATCTCAGAGACTGGAACATGACAAAGGTAAAATTCAACAAGAAAGATCAGAATGCATCTGAAGAGGAAAGATTCACAGACTGGAACATGACAAGGGTAATTCATTCAAAAGAAAGACAACATGCAAGAGAAGAGGAAAGATTTCAGATGACTGGAAACTTCATTAAAGCAGATACAACAAGAAAGAGAAGAAATGCATCTGAAGAGAAAGATCTCATAGACTGGAACAGATCAAGAGCTGCAGATTCAACAAACTTCAGACAGAATGCATCTGAAGAGGAAAGATCTGCAGACTGAAACAGTCATTAAAGTAATAATTCAACAAGAAAGACAGAATGCATCTGAAGAGGAAAGATCAGATGACTGGAACAGTCATTAAAGCAGATACAACAAGAAAGACAGAATGCATCTGAAGAGGAAAGATGACTGAAAGACTGGAACAGCAGATACAACAAGAAAGAGAAGATCAAGAGATGCAGATGACAGACTGAAACTGCATCTAAAGCAGATAGAACAAGAAAGAGAAGATCAAGAGATGCAGATGACAGTGAAACTTCAACAAGAAAGAGCAAAATGCAACAAGAAAGAGAAGATCAAGAGAGGCAGATGACAGACTGAAACAGTCAAAGCAGATACAACAAGAAAGAGAAGAAAGATCTGAAGAGGAAAGATCTTCACAGACTGGAACAACAAGAAAGAGAAGATTTCAACAAGAAAGACAAATGCATCTGAAGAACAAGAAAGAGAAGATCAGACTGGAACAGTCATTAAAGCAGATCAACAAGAAAGAGAAGATCATGCATCTGAAGATGAAAGAAACTTCATCAAAGCAGACTGGAACAGTCAAGGGTAATAATTCAATGAAGAGAAACAAAATGCATCTGAAGAGGAAAGATCAAGAGACTGGAACAGTCAAAGGTAAGAAAGCAACAAGAAAAGAGAAGATGCATCTGAAGAGGAAAGTGAAACTCACAGACTGGAACAGTCATGGATAATAGATTTCAACAAAGAGAAGATCAAGAGCTGAAGACAAAAATTCAACATCTGAGCAGAGCATCTGAAGAAGAAAGAGAAGATCAACTGGAACTGCAGATGACAGTGAAACTCATTAAAGCAGATAAACAAGAAAGAGAAGATCAAGAGCTGCAGATGACAGGAAACTTCATCAAAGCAGACAGAATGCAAAGAAGAGGAAAGATCTCAGAGACTGGAAACAGTCATTAAAGAATTCAACAAGAAAGACAAATGCATCTGAAGAGGAAAGATCTCAGATACAACAGACTGGAACAAGAGCTGGTAATGACAGATTCAACAAGAAAGACAGAATGCATCTGAAGAGGAAAGATCTCAAGACTGGAACAGTCAAAGAGTGAAGATTTCAACAAGAAAGAGAAAATGCATCTGAAGAGGAAAGATCTCACAGACTGGAACAGTCAGTGAAACTTCAACAAGAAAGACAAAATGCATCTGAAGATCAAGAGATGCAGAGACTGGAACAGTCATTAAAGGTAATAATTCAACAAGAAAGAGAAGACAAAATGCATCTGAAGAGGAAAGATCTCACAGACTGATACAACAAGAAAGGTAAGATCAACAAGAAAGACAGAATGCATCTGAAGAGGAAAGATCTGACAGACTGGAACTGTCAACAACAAAAAGAGAAGATCAAGAGGAAAGATTTCACAGACTGAAACTGTCATAGGTAGAAAAACAAGTGAGACAGAGGAAAGAGGAAAGATCAGACAGACTGGAACAGTCAATGAGATAAGAGATCAACAAGAAAGAGAAATGCATCTGAAGAGGAAAGATCTCACAGACTGGAACAAGAAAGAGTAGATCAAGATTTGCACAAGAAAGAGTGAAATGCATCTGAAGAGGAAAGATCTCAGACTGGAACTGTCATAGAAGAATTCAACAAGAAAGACAGAATGCATCTGAAAGGAAAGAAGACTGGAACAGTCAAAGGTAGGAAAACAAGAAAGAACAATGAAAGAGAAGATCAAGATCTGCAGATGACAGTGAAACTTCATTAAAGCAGATACAACAAGAAAGAGAAGAAAAATGCATCTGAAGAGGAAAGATCTCACAGACTGGAACAGTCATTAAAGGTAAGATTTCAACAAGAAAGAGAAAATGCATCTGAAGAGGAAAGATCTGCAGAGACAGTGAAAGTCATTAAAAAAAGAGAAGATCAACAAGAAAGAAAAATGCATCTGAAGAGGAAAGATCTCACAGACTGATACAACAAGGGTAAGAAGATCAACAAGAAAGATGAAAATGCATCTGAAGAAAAGATCAACACAGACTGGAACAGTCATGGGTAATATTTCAACAAGAAAGACAGAATGCATCTGAAGAGGAAAGATCTCACAGACTGCAAACAGTCATGTGTAAGCAGATCAACAAGAAAGAGAAAATGCATCTGAAGAGGAAAGATCTCACAGACTGGAACAGTCATGGGTAAAATTTCAACAAGAAAGAGAAAATGCATCTGAAGAGGAAAGATCTCAACTGGAACAGACTGGAAAAGACAAATGATCTGAAGAGGAAAGATCTCATGACTGGAAAACTAAAAGCAGATTCAACAAGAAAGAGAAGATGCATCTGAAGAGGAAAGAAACTTCACAGACTGGAAACAAGAAAGAGAAGATCAAGAGCTCAACAAGAAAGACAAAATGCATCTGAAGAGGAAAGATCTCACAGACTGGAAACAGTCAAGGGTAAGAATTCAACAAGAAAGACAAAATGCATCTGAAGAGGAAAGATCTCACAGACTGGAACAGTCATGGGTAAGAATTCAACAAGAAAGACAGAATGCATCTGAAGAGAAGAAGATCTCACAGACTGGAACAGTCATGGGTAAGATTTCAACAAGAAAGACAAAATGCATCTGAAGAGGAAAGATCAAGATCTCAGAGACTGGAAACAGTCAAGGTAATACAACAACAAGAAAAGACAGAATGCATCTGAAGAGGAAAGATCTCACAGACTGGAACAGTCATGTGAAGAATTCAACAAGAAAGACAAAATGCATCTGAAGAGGAAAGATCTCAGAGACTGGAACAGTCATGTGAAATTCAACAAGAAAAGAGATGCAGAAATGCATCTGAAGAGAAAGATCTCACAGAACTGGAACAGTCACAGTGAAACTTCATTCAACAAGAAAAGACAAAATGCATCTGAAGAGGAAAGATCTCACAGACTGGAACAGTCATGACAAGGGTAATTTCAACAAGAAAGACAAAATGCATCTGAAGAGGAAAGATCTCACAGACTGGAAACAGTCATGGGTAAGCAGATTCAACAAGAAAGAGAAAATGCATCTGAAGAGGAAAGATCTCAAAGACTGAACAGTCAAAGAAATCAAGAGCTCAACAAGAAACTCAAAATGCATCTGAAGAGAAAAGATCTCAAGACTGGAAAGTCAGAAGATCAAAAATGAAAGACAAAATGCATCTGAAGAGGAAAGAAACTCACAGACTGGAACAGTCAGAGAAGATTTCAACAAGAAAGACAGAAATGACTGAAGAAAAGATCATTACAGACAGATACAACAAGGTAAGATTTCAACAAGAAAGAGAAAATGCATCTGAAGAGGAAAGATCTCACAGACTGGAACAGTCATGGGTAAAAGCAGATTCAACAAGAAAGACAAAATGCATCTGAAGAGAAAGATCTCACAGACTGGAACAGTCATGGGTAAAATTCAACAAGAAAGAAGAGAATGCATCTGAAAGAGGAAAAGATCTCACAGACTGAACAGTGAAACTAAGATTTCAACAAGAAAGAGAAAAAGAGAAACTGAAGAGGAAAGATCTCACAGACTGAAACAGTCAAACTTCATAAGAATTCAACAAGAAAAAATGCATCTGAAGAGGAAAGATCTCACAGACTGCAGAACAAACTTCATTAAAGTAAGATTTCAACAAGAAAGAGAAGAAAGATCAAATGAAATCTGAAGACTGAACAAGATTTCAACAAGAAAGAGAAAATGCATCAAGAGCAGATCTCACAGACTTCAAGAAAGAGAAGAACAAGAATGAGAAAATGCATCTGAAGATGAAAGATCTTCACAAACTGGAACAACAAGAAAGGAAAGATTTCAACAAGAAAGAGAAAATGCATCTGAAGAGGAAAAGCAGATCAAAGAGACTGGAACAGTCATGGGTAAGATTTCAACAAGAAAGAGAAGATGCATCTGAAGAGGAAAGATCTTAAAGCAGACTACAACAGTCAAAGAGAAGATCAAGAGATGCAATGACAAGAAAAACAAAAAAGCATCTGAAGAGGAAAAGATCAAGACTGAACAGTCATGGGTAGATTTCAACAAGAATGAGAAGATGCATCTGAAGAGGAAAAGAGAAGATCAAGAGCTGGAACACAGTAAAAATTCAACAAGAAAGACAGAATGCATCTGAAAGAGAAGAAAGATCTCAGATGACTGGAACAGTCATGGGTAATTTCAACAAGAAAGAGAAAATGCATCTGAAGAGGAAAGATCTGCAGAACTGGAACAGTCAAACTTAATAATTCAACAAAAGCAGATATCTGAAGAGAAAGATCAAAAAGCATCTGAAGAGGAAAGATGATCAAGAGGAAAGCTGCAGAACTGGAAAGTCAGATATTTCAACAAGAAAGAGAAGAAAAGAGCATCTGAAGAGGAAAGAAACTCTCAAAGACTACAACAAGTCAAGGGAAGAATTCAACAAGAAAGACAGTGAAACTGCATCTGAAGAGGAAAGATCAAGAAAGACTGGAACAAGATGCAGATGACAGTGAAAAAAAAGAAAGAAAAATGCATCTGAAGAGAAAAAGATCTCAGAGACTGGAACAGTCATGGGTAAGATACAACAAGAAAGAGAAAATGCATCTGAAGAGGAAAGATCTCACAGACTGAGAACAGTCAAAGGTAAGAAGATCAACAAGAAAGAGAAGACAAGAATGCATCTGAAGAGGAAAGATCTCACAGACTGGAACAGTCAAGGGAAGATTTCAACAAGAAAGACAAAATGCATCTGAAGAGGAAAGATCTCACAGACTGGAACAGTCATGGGTAGATAATTCAACAAGAAAGAGAAAAATGCATCTGAAGAGGAAAGATCTCACAGACTGGAACAGTCATGGGTAAAGAGATTCAACAAGAAAGAGAATGCATCTGAAGAGGAAAGATGACACAGACTGGAACAGATCAACAAGTAAGAGATTCAACAAGAAAGAGAAAATGCATCTGAAGAGGAAAGATTTCACAAGAGAACTGTCAACTGAAAAAAACTATTAAAGCAGATAATCTGAACAAGAAAGAAGAATTCAACAAGCATCTGAAGAGGAAAGATCTGCAGACTGGAAACAGTTAAAGGTAATAATTCAACAAAAGAAAAGACAGAATGCATCTGAAGAGGAAAGATCTTAAAGACTGGAACAGTCAAAGAGAAGATCAATTTCAATGAAGAAAGAGAAAGCAGATACAACAAGAAGAGGAAAGAGCTGCAGAGACTGGAACAGTCAGATGTAAAGCAGATTTCAACAAGAAAGAAAAATGCATCTGAAGAGGAAAGATCTCACAGACTGGAAAAGTCAAGATCAAGAGCTCAAGAAGAAAGACAAAATGCATCTGAAGAGGAAAAGAAAGAGAAGACTGGAGCTGCAGATGACAGTGAAACTTCATTCAACAAGAAAAAGAGAAGAATGCATCTGAAGAGAAAGATCTCAGACTGGAACAGACAGTGAAATTCAACAAGAAAGACAAAATGCAACAAGAAGAGAAAGATCTCAGAGACTGGAACAGTCAAAGTTAAATTTCAACAAGAAAAGAGAAATGCATCTGAAGAGAAAGATCTCACAGACTGGAACAGTCATGACAGTAAAACTTCAACAAAGAAAGACAAAATGCATCTGAAGAGGAAAGATCTCACAGACTTCATTAAAGCAGATACAACAAGGAACAGTGCAGATGACAGTGAAATTTCAACAAGAAAGAAGAAAATGCATCTGAAGAGGAAAGATCTTCACAGACAAGAAAGAGTCAAGAGGTAAGATGACATTTCAACAAAAAAGAGAAAATGCATCTGAAGAGGAAAGATCAAGAGACTGCAACAGACAGTGAAACTAAAAATTTCAACAAGAAGAAAGAATGCATCTGAAGAGGAAAGATCTCACATGACAAGGGAAATTCATTAAAGAAGAGACAACAAGAAAAAGAGAAGATCAAGAAAGATGCAACTCATGGGTAAGAGGAACAAGAAAGACAAATGATCTGAAGAGGAAGATCAAGGGAAGAACAGTCATGTGTAACAAGAAAGACAAATGCATCTGAAGAGGAAAGATCAGATGACAAAAGTTCATTAAAGCAGATACAACAAGAAAGAGAAGATCAAAGAGCTGCAGATGACAGAAAAGATTAAAGCAGACTACAACAAAAGAGAAGATCAAGAGCTGCAGATGACAGTGAACTTCATTAAAGCAGATACAACAAAAGAAAGAAAGAGACAAGAGATGCATCAGAAGAGAGAAGATGACAGAGACTGGAACAGTTCATTAAAGCAGATACAACAAGAAAGAGAAGATCAAGATCTGAGATGACAGTGAAAGATCTCATTAAAGAAACAGTCATACAACAATTTCAAGAGAAGATCAAAAGAGATCTGAAGATGAAAGATCTCACAAAAAGGAAGACAGTCAGCTAGAGACAGATAAAGCAACAAGAAAGACAAATGCATCTGAAGAGGAAAGATCAAGAGCTGCAGATGACAGTGAAACTTCATTAAAGCAGATTTCAACAAGAAAGAGAAGATCAAGAGCTGCAGATGACAGTGAAACTTCATTAAAGCAGATACAACAAGAAAGAGAA